TGAAGATGCCATACGCTTCATTCAGAGAAATTTCTACGTAGATGATGGTCTGGCAAGCATTCAAACTGAGAAGGAAGCCATTCAGCTTGTCAAAGAATCAAGAGCACTTTGCTGCACTGGCAAGTTAAGACTTCACAAGTTTGTTTCTAACAGTGAAAATGTGATGGCAACCATCCCAGAAGAAGAACGTGTCACAGTCAAAGATCTGGACATGGCCTTGAGTTCACCGCATATGGAGAGAGCTCTTGGAGTAGAGTGGTGCATCACATCGGACTCGTTTAAATTCAGAGTTCAAGTAAAACCCTATCCACTGACAAGAAGAGGCGTACTCTCTACTGTAGCATCTGTGTATGATCCCCTGGGGTTCATGGCACCCTTCGTCCTTTTGGGGAAACAAATACTCCAAGAAATGTGTAGATAAAAGGTCGGCTGGGATGAAGAACTTCCAGAAAACCTTAAACCTAAATGGGAGTCCTGGATCAAAGACCTACCTAATCTGGCTGAAATGCAAATTAAAAGATGCTTCTTACCTTCAAGTTTCGGCAAAGTTAAAGGGTATGAGCTTCACCATTTTGCAGATGCAAGTGTTTCTGGCTACGGTGAATGTACTTACCTGCGAGCCGTTGATGAGTCTGATGAAGTCCATTGCTGTCTGGTAATGGGAAAATCAAGAGTTTCACCAACCAAAGTCACAACTATACCAAGGCTTGAACTGTCTGCTGCAGTCGTTGCAGTTCGAACTAGCGACATGCTCCAGAATGAACTGGAATACCAAGATCTCAAGGAGTTCTTCTGGACAGACTCCAAAGTCGTTCTCGGCTACATAAAAATGACGCTAGAAGGTTTCAGGTGTTCGTAGCCAACCGCATTCAGAGGATCAAGTCAAGTACAAAGCCTGAACAATGGGCTTATGTTGCCTCTGAGGACAATCCAGCAGATCATGCCTCTCGTGGTTTGACTGCAGAGCAACTTAAGACCTCAAACTGGTTTATAGGACCAAAGTTTCTGTGGCAAAAGGAACTACCTCAAAGAGAATGTAAAGTGGAAGAAATCAAGGAAGACGATCCTGAACTTCGCAAAGCTCTTGTGTGTAACACCAAGGCAAAGGAAGAAAGGTCGCTATTGGATAAGCTACAGAAATTTTCTGATTGGTCAAGGGCAGTAAAGGCAGTTGCTAGGTTGAAACGACAAGTCAAAGAATACAAAGGTGTGAAAGAAAGAACCAATGAAACTTCAAGCCTAGAAGAAAGGAAAGAAGCTGAACTTCTGATCATCAAGCTAGTTCAAGAAGAAGCATTCTCAGATGAGGTAAAGAGCTTGAAATTAAAGAAAGAAGTTACTAAGACCAAAAACAGCAAGCTGTACAAGTTAAGTCCCTTCTTGGATGAAGAAGGTACCCTAAGGGTGGGAGGACGTCTTAGTCAAGCCACGCTACACCCACATGTGAAGCATCAGGCAATACTGCCAACGAACAGCCACATATCAGCTTTGCTTATCAAGCATTTTCACGAAAGAGTACATCATCAAGGACGTGGAATGACGATGAATGAACTGCGAGCTAATGGATGGTGGATCCTGGGATGCAGCAGCGCAGTCTCGTCGCACATTTTCAAATGTGTCAAATGCAGAAAGTATAGAAGACATACTGAAGAACAAAAAATGGGTGACTTACCTCAAGACAGAACAGAAACTAGTCCACCTTTCACTTACACTGGCATAGACTGCTTTGGTCCGATCTATGTTAAAGAAGGAAGGAAAGATCTCAAAAGATATGGCCTCTTACTTACCTGTCTATGTTCAAGAGCCATACACATAGAGATGGTTGATGATATGACCACTGATGCATTTATAAATGCGTTAAGAGCGTTCATTGCCATAAGAGGACATGTTCGTCAACTAAGATGTGACCAAGGAACCAATTTTGTTGGTGCAAGGAAAGAGTTTACAGAACTCATGAAAGGAATGAACCAAGAAAGAGTGAAGGTTCTAAGATGTGAATTTCTTATGAACCCTCCAGCAGCAAGTCACATGGGCGGTGTCTGGGAGAGGCAGATAAGAACTATAAGGAGTGTTCTTACTGCTATTCTTGACAAGTCAGCACAAAGGCTCGACAGCACTTCTCTAAGAACATTCCTATATGAAGTTATGGCTATCGTTAATAGCAGACCACTCACTACTGAACATTTGAATGACCCATCCGGACCTGAACCTTTAACTCCGAACCATATCCTTACCATGAAGTCCACGATAATTCTACCACCACCTGGACAATTCGTCAGAGAAGATCTTTATCTTCGAAAAAGATGGCGACGAGTTCAATATTTGGCTAATGAGTTTTGGACCAGATGGAGAAAGGAATATCTTTTGAACTTACAACCACGACAAAAGTGGCACAAGAACAGAAGAAACTTGAAAGTCAACGACATTGTACTTCTACAAGATGATCTGGCACCACGCAATCAATGGAAGCTGGCCAGAATCACAGAAGTCTACCCAGGGTCAGATAATAGGGTGAGAAAACTAAAGTTGCTAGTTAGTGACACCACATTTGATAAAAAGGGGAAACCCACAACTAGAATAGTGTTCCTTGAAAGACCTATACAGAAGGTTGTTACTCTGCTTGAGGCAGAATAAGATGTTAGTGTTTTACCTGAAACTCCATGTTAAATGTTTAATAACTGGAAATGTTTCATTGAGATGCTTGCAACAACGTTTGTATTTAGAAAATCCCACACTGAGAATTGTGTGATTTGGTGGGAGTGTAATTGTTGCATTTATTGTTTGTAAATAAGTCTATAATTTGTTAACCCTCTTAATTAGAATTCATTTAAGTTGAAATTTGTTTTTTATAAATTCATTTTATTTAGGTTATGACTAAAAGAGGTGCTTTTATTTTGAAGTGCTGCGGTAGTCTCGATTGCCGGCTTGCTCCTCGCGTGTCTGACTGACGCCCCATCGGCACCCAAGGCAGTTAATGCCAGTTAATGAAGGACTTTTGCGCTGTTTTGAAAAGTTTGATTGCTCGTCAGCAAAGGACTATATTGGAAGATAACTAAAGATCCTGAAAACAATTCGCCCTCTTTTGCAGGGCATGGCAGCCGACCGAGGTATTTATTTATCTGTGTTTTTTAGCTTTATAAATGTTATACCGACATGCTGTGCAATGTTATTGTTTATGTTAAGCCTAACATTGTTTTATATTTTGTCAACATTATTTAGTTTTTCACGGTGGATTTGGAGAGAGAGAGAGAGCAAAGCTTCAAAAAAGCCCGCTAAAAAAAAGAAAGCCACCTTGTGTCTGGCCTGCCCTGTGCTTCGAGGGAGTTATATACATTGTACATCTGGCAACCTGACGTATAAAATACTCTCATCTTTTCAACAAAACATCCTTATAAACAGGTAGCAATTAGGGACAAGTAAAGCTGTGATAAATGTATTTATGTTACACTAAAATAAAGAATGTTTGGTAGTTTGTCGGCCAGACTCACGTGATGATCCTAAACATTTGGAAATGATGCGTGACTTCTACACGTTAAAGTGGTATTTATGAAGCAGACTCACCTGATCTTCTCACTGCTTGAGATTGTGTTTTGACTAATTGTCACTACTTAACTCTTAGCCACTGAAATAAGAACCTTGTAATGTACAGTAATGAATGTGTGTTGTTGAATTATTAAAAATATTGGAATTGGCCATAACTTATAGGCTGTTCACATTGTTAGATTCCATACAGTAGATAACTAGCTTTAATTACTTAACAACTTTAACTATTTACTAAAAGCCTCCCTTCAGTCAGAAATCAGTGTTTCTTCCTGTTCCTACAGAGTGATGTTTGAATGGTGTAAGTGGATCTGTGACATCACACATAGTCTGGAAGTCAAGCCTTGTCCAGTATGCAACTTGTACAGTGTGATGTAGAAACTTGCACATCCACTGAGAATGGACTTCAGTGAAGTAAGAGACATCTTGTGTCCAGCAAGAAAACAACATTTGTATATTCATAGATTCTGGAATTTTTAATGAGGCAGATGGATGCCTCATTAAAAAGATGGATTTTAGGGTAGAAATGATTAACAATTGTTAAATAAAGTTATCTCGTTAAGAAAAAGAAGAGCAGCAAAGATTACTGAACACTGTTGAACCTGTAGGAGTTGTTTAGCTCGGTCAGTGTATAGTGAGCTCACGTTAACTGAATGGTGACCTGAAAACAAGTTGAACTGGATCCATTCACTAGACTTAAGACTCAAATATAAATATAGCAAGCCCACTAAATCATCAGGGCTATGTGCAATAAACAAACCAGCACCGTAGCACTTAATTCTTATAGTCTCTGGCACTCTCTTTTTAAGCTGCCACATTGTCTGTGTTAAAAAAAATGTAACATTAACATTTTGAGATGTTTTTATGTTGATTTTGTAATTGTTTTTTGATGTGTGTCTGTTGTTGAGGTGTTTGTTTCTGTGAAGCAATTGTGTCCAAGACAAAATTCAGTATAAAGTTTATTCTATTCTATTCTAACGCTTTACAACCTGTGTTGTGGTTTAGAAAACGCTATCAGTGTGTATGGGTGAAGATTCAATCAATAGAATTTGTTGAAAACTATTAATTACCTAATGGCATACACGTTAGCTAATTTCTGGTTGCTGTTAGCTTAGCTTCTAAGATTGCAGGGACAACAGTCAAATTTGAAAACGTCGCACCGATATTTTCTGAATTTCCTCCGCTGTATGTGGTTAAAGACATGTTACCTCTTTTTTCTTCTGTGCGTCAGTGGGCTCATTGTCGAAAAAAACGAAGACAAAGAGCAAAATTGAAAGTTTTCCAAACATTGTGCAACACAGCTCACACTGCTAGCGACCGCACTACAATCTCCTGTCAGCTTCCTATTGGTCAGCTCTCAGTCAATCACAACGATCTGTCATTCCGGTCAACTTCTTCTTCTTTTACATTTTTAAGGTGCATTACCGCCACCTTCTGCTCCGGAGTGTGGGCCAAAAATGTAACACTGACCCTGTATGAATGTGTGTGAATAGGTGAATGTGGCGCTTTGAGTGGTCGGAAGACTAGAAAGGGCAGTCCATTTACCATTTACCATTCACCATCGAGACATAAACGTACACTGCCAAGATTGGCATAACACACATTCTGAGCAGTGATGTCATGAAATATATCCATTTTTTCTTTCCTGTAATCAAAGCAGATTACCTGATGATAAACTGAGTATAGAAATCACAACTGTGTGCTGCTGATTCTTCTTCTATAATAAGTAACGTTGAGGCATACAAAACGGGCTGTTCTCACTTAACAGACGTTTGCAGAAGCTTTTCTGTCAGTTAAGCATTTAAAATGTATTATTTTTTTTTACCACGCACTCAGCGTTGACCTATGGTTTGCTTATATGGACTTGGGATGTCTAAAACACTGATTTGTGTTATTTGTCTAATGTTTTCTGATGCTGTTTTGTCTGTAACTTCTATATCAATCAATGAAGATTTGAGACGTGGGTGGCGGTAATGCACCTATAAGCTGGTTTGCCAACCGCCATTAGAACCCAAAGAAGAACAAGTAGTCAGAGGAAAAAGCAGGAGAAGAAGAGGAAAAATAAAGCGAAGCTGTGTGTTCGGCAAATCTGCTGCACACACAGGATGGCTGAAGAGCAACAGCACAGTGGCTTTGATAGAAAAATACCGGTAGGTTTGCCATATTGCTAAAAGCTTTGTTAAAGGCGGTACAGTTTGAGTTAGGGGGCTTGCTGTGTTGTTTAACGTTACTTGTGTGGTTTTGTCTTCGTGAACAATGTTAGCTGCGGCTATGCTAACTAGTAAGCTAGCTTTGACAAAGAGCAGGTTGAACTTTATAGCATGATAACGAGTTTGACAGGTGTGGAATAATGAGGCGTCTTCGCTTTAACGTTAGTTCTCTTGTTTGTACACATATTTAACGTTAATGTCGTTTGTCAGTTGGCTAAGAAACATGAATAGCTGTTTATGTTTGTCTGGCTTTGCTTCCCAGCTACAGTGACATGCGTTTACTGTGCACCTTGATGTCCTCACACTTCACCTGCACACATTGATCTGAAAATGAAGTATGTCTGGAAAGTAGGGATGCACGGTTTGGATTGTTTTTCAGCCAACACGATAACGGATAGTAACTGTAGTGTTTACCTACTTTATGGCAGCAAAGGCTAAGATGTAGTGAGCAAAGATGGATGGTTTTAATTTCCATTGCTCTATTCCCATCAAATATAACTGAAATCACTATTGTAAACAGCAATAAAAAACAACAAACAGTTCTGACTCTTTAAATGTTAATTTACTTTTTCTATTAAAGTTAATCAAAAAAAGAACATACTTTGGCTTTCATAGAAAATAAAGCCTAGCAGTCTTTTTGCATAAGAATTCAAAATATAATAATAATAATAATAATAATAATAATAATAATAATATACATTTTCTATTATTGGCTGATAATTTATCTTTCCTGATAATTATTGTACATCCTTTCTGGAAAGTAATGGTATAACTTGCTGAGTATTTTACACTGTTATGTTTACATGTGCAGCTGCTCTGCAGACAGATACGCCTGGCAAATATATACTTCACTACTTCTTCAAATTTTGCTTTGCTTAACATGAACACATTATTCTGAGACAATATTCTGTTATCCATAATATATGCCAAACATCTGAAATCCTATCATGTTTAATTACGTTGCATAAGAAATGTGTCCAAATATATAATACAAAAGATCAACAACATTCTGAATGTGTACTCTAGTGATTTATTGCTGCATTTCCATAATGTTGTTGGACTTGCAGCTGACCGATTACAAAAAATTAGCTGTCAGTATTCATGACAGTGCCAATCACATGGAATCTGATCTTTTTAATGCTGATTTGGGCCACTTTCATACCAAATCAGATCACAGGTCAGATTTCTTATCAGAATTCATGTGACTTTTATGCCATTCCAGATTTATGCTTATCATATGGGTCATATTGGGGATAGTAACCTGTTCACACTGGAATCTGATATGAACCACATTTAACAAATAATGTGAGCTCAGAGGCAGAGCAGGGCGTCCACTTTTTGGAAGGTTGTTGGTTCAATTCCCGGCTCCTCGCTGCCGCATGTCAAAGTATCCTTGACCAAGATACTGAACCCCAAATTGCTCCCGATGCTGCGTCATCGGTGTGTGAATGTGTATGAATGAGTTAGTTTCTGTTCGATGGACTTTGCCATCACTGTGTGAATGCACACAGGGTGAATGTAGGGCACGATAAGTGTAAAAGCATCGCTTTGAGTGGTTGAAGACTAGAAAACATGTGCAAGCTAATATCAGTACAGGTCCAATTTACCATTTACCAAACCAAAAGATTCTGATCTAAGCAATAAATCAGAAATTAGTGAATAGGCTTTGCATTGTGAATGTAAGCCTTCATACTGTAGTGGTGGAGTTGTGGCGCCAAAAGACACTAGGATCATTGAAAATTCCCATAATTAAGAACAATTTCTATGGCTCCATTTTTTTTTCTTTCCATAAAGAAGCCTCCCTGCCGACAAACAGACATTTCTTTCAACACTTCCTCACCCTCGGGTTGTATTAATTCAGCCTCTCTTTTAGAAATTTGTCAGCTATGACCTCGTCAGGTATGTTCTACTCATAACTTGACAAAGCTCCTTCTATGTCTAATTTCAGAGCCACTAACTGGTTTTTCACAGACTGAGTGGTACTCCTTGTGCGATCATGTTTAAAAAAAAAAACAAAAACAAAAAAAAGTGTCCTATAAATCAGGCATTACTTAATCAGAGACCATAAACATGACAACCAAGTAATGCCACACACCAACTCCAATTCAAACAAATCTTTACACTCATCTAAGCCATAGGGAACCATAGTATTATGACATTAATGTTACTTAGTTAGCTGGTAATACACCAGATGAGTTTCTGGTGGATAGACCCTCATAACAGAAATGCTCACGTGGAGGAATGAATTCTGCTTATTGTTTATTGCTCTTATCTTTCCATCAAATCCATCTCAAATTTTATTTTTTTGTAATAACGCGCCAATCCATACAAGTTATCTCAGGACAACTGTCCAAATAGAGCAGGTCTAGACTGTAGTCCATTTTTTTTCTTTTATAAAATTATTTAACATAACAGTTCCCATCATGGCCAACGTACTTTGCGATAGCGCAAGGAAAAACTTCCTTTTTAAGAGGGGCGGATAACCCGCCTGCTAGTTGGGTGGCCCTCTATGGTAGAAGGGGATAGTTGGTAAAGAGAGAAGGACAAGAGACAGAGACAAAACTGACAGCAACAAACAATACTAAACAGAAGACTGATGATACATGATAGCCGCGAGAACAATGGGGTTTTATAAATAATAGATAATACAATATAAAAACTGGTGGTGCTTTTGGAGGAGAGCGGGTCATCCACTAATCGGAAGGTTGTTGGTCGATCCCCCAGCTCCCTCCCACTGCGTGGTCGAAGAAAGTATCCTTTCTGTTCAATGGGCTTTGCCCATACCAAGTACAGTAAGGCCATATTACCATCAACCATAAAGGAAGTCCCCAGGACAGGGCAGGCCGTATGGCAGCCTAGCCTTTAGCAGTATAACTAGAAATGAACTCCAGAGGAGAGTGGTAAAGTGCAGCAAAATAATTCTAAATATTTCGACCTGCGATCCCTAGGCCTGTCGCGATATGCGATAAATCAATTAATCGCACAATAAATAAAAAGAGCTCGATAATTTTTTCGGCCGCGATAATTTTCCATTTACTTGTTGTTTTTTTTCCTCGTCTCTCTCTCATACAAAGAGACTGGATGACCACTCCGGTGCATCGGTGACCCAGGTGCATCGCACCCATGGGGATGTGGGTTTTTGACACCCACACTTTTCCCGGTGACAGGGTTCAACACCCACACTTTTTCTTGCAGTTTTTCTGCAGTTTTGCACAAACGCTTACTACAGTCGCTCCGTTTCTCTGTCCGACCTGTGTCTGCGCTCGCTGCGGCTGCCCCCCCCCCCCCTTGTGTTCAATTCAATTCAATTTAATGTTGTATAGAGCGCAATTCATAACAGAAGTTATCTCAGGACACTTTTCAAAATAGAGCAGGTCATAGACCGAACTCCTTTTAACATTTACAGAGACCCAACAGTACCACCATGGAGCAAGACCTTGGGCCAACGGGGCAAGGAAAAACTGCCTTTTAACAGGCAAGAACCGTCGGACAGACCCTTCGGCTCTAGGTGGGTGGTCGTCTGCCTTGACCAGTTGGGGTGAGAGAGAGAGCGAGAGAGAGAGAGAAGAGACGACACAACACGACAAGACAGACAGGTGCATAGCACATGAACTGGCTTTGAGTGTGACCCGGCTGATGATTGGCTGTTCTGCTTAAGTCCCCTCTCCTTGGTGTGTTGTTTTATCGTTAGCTCGTGCTGAGGAAGGCGGGAACATAGCTAGGTTCATAGTTCATATGAAGCCCGAAGTTGTCATTATTGATTAATAGGCATCTGCTTCATCTCTTTTGCACTTTTGTTTACAAAGGGCCTAACTGGCAGGTTTGCCTGTTAAGGAATGTATCACTCTTTATGTCTGAGCCTGATGTTTAATATTTTTTGAAGTACAATTTGTCTACATCCATTTTATTATTGTTTTTGTGTTGTTTTGTTTCATTTCTTGTGGATATTTAAAAATGTCTTCCAGTTCCAGTATTACATATTGTTTAGAAATAAAAAGCTTACTGATCTTTGAAACGCTGTACCTGCATTATATATGCCATTATCATTATATTATAGATGAAAATGGTCTCAGGAAACAATATTTCGTTTATCCGCAATAAATTCTGTGGACAATTTATTGTCCAGCAAAATTTTGTTATCGGAAGCAAGGCCTAGCGATCCCCGGTAACTGGGATACTAGCATCTTTGTAACCTATTCACTGTATGATTCTCATATGTCTTAAATGTCTCCACATTTCCTTTACTTGCAATTTTTCCTTGTGTCTTTACAGAGATGCAAAGAAAAGGAGGGAAGACGTTTTTAGTGAAATAAAATGTCAATATTTTATATTTTTAAACTTTTGTGAATTCAGTTTCTTAAATGTGAATATTTTCTGTTTTCTTCAGTCCTCTATGACTGTAAACCAAATATCTTTGGTTTGTGGACCAAACAAGACATTTGAAGATGGGCTTTGGGAAACAGCTATCAAGATTTCTATTTCTTAATTTTATGAACCAAAAAATTAATCAATTAAATGTTGAAAATAGTCGCAGCCCTAAAGCAAATTGAGATATCCTTTATGATGGCAGACCAGATGAGTTTCCGGTTCAGATGCATAAAATGGTGCCAATCAGAAGAACCTACTGTCTCTGTATCCTCTTTCCTTGCTCCTGTTAACTTGTCTTCCTTTCTGATTTGGTTTCCAGTTCATGCTCAGGAAATAGTCCAGGCTGCAGGAGGGAGGAAGTGTGTGTGTGTGTGTGAGCCTGACCAGTGACACACAAGTGATGGGTCCTAGGAGGAAGGCCTCTAAACTCCAGCCTGTAGGGGGCAGCGGTGAAGGGGAACTTGTCCTGAGACCCAGTGAGCCCAAAGATTACATCAATGAGCTGTCCCATGAAGTCCTCTGTCATATATTCAGGTACAGTGCCCTCAATCAACACCATTCTGTTGTGTACTTCACAATATACTCTAGGGCTAGATGGGGTTCTACAGTATATAGGTATTTCTATTGCCATGTATATTGCTTTGAGTAGGATCTTTGCACAATGGGGGGAACTGTACATACAAATAAGGATGCTGGTGATATCACAGTTGAAACAAATAAACACAATAGAGTGTTTATTTAAATATACATGTCTGATATTCCTGAACAATCAAGGTACATCATCACATTGATGCAAAAATGTCCGATATATTGCCATGTGACAGTCCAGCTCAATAAATTTCAACATTGCTACAATGGTACTGTATAACAGCTACTTTACTATAAACAGTATTACAGACTCTCTAATGGTAATGTGAAATTATTATCTCATGGTATATACGTGGTCATATGCCCCAACCTTACCACAGTTAACTTGCCTAAGCTACAGAACGTTTTGAAAGTTCAAACCTTGTTTTTTTTTCTTTGTAGGTACCTTCCCATGAAGGACATCATGTGTATGGAGTGTCTGTCCAGAAAGCTTCGAGAAGCTGTCACTCTGTACCTGCGAGTGGTAAAGGTAGTGGACCTGTGTGCCGGTCGCTGGTGGGAGTATATGCCTTCAGGTAAGCGCTCACAGCACAACCACTGCTTCCTAACAAACACATAACTCAGAGCATCTTCAGTGCTACAGTACAACATTATGGCATTATATCTGTCCATTCATTCTACTCACAATATCGAACGCAATATCTCAGGAACGCCTAAAGGGAATGTCCTCAAATTTGGCACAAACATCCACTTGACGACACAAAGCATGCTTTTAGTCGCAACTATTGATTATGACAACATTTATTTAACGAAGTGATGACATTTTTCTTTACCGAAAGGTCAACTTCACTGTGACATTATATTGCCCTGGCCATTATTCGACACTATAACTCAGTAACAGAAGGGGAGTTGGTCAGATGCTGATTTGGTGTCACTTTTGACTCAAAGGTCATTGTGACTTTTTTTTTTTTTTTTTTTTTTTTTAGCTGTAAGAATTAAGTATGATTTAAGCGATTTACCACAGTTGGATGACACAATGAGTAAACAATAAGTAACACAGTACAGGCCTTTATCTTTCAATATTATCTATTCTGCCTTTTACTTCCTGCCTTATTCTGAATTTTGAGCGTCATTGGAATCACGTGAGTGCCAACAATGTATTGGAGAGACTGCCTAGCTCATGGAGATCTTGTGAGTGACTTTCGCCTACAGCTCACAGAGAGGTTTTAAATTTAAAACTGCCAGAAGAAAACCAAAGCACCACATTTTGTATAGCTATACTCTGTAAGAATCCATCTTTACATAATAATCATCCCTTTACCCAATACATCTGTGATAATCCTTCATTCAAACACAGTATATTGATTAAAATACCATCAATATCACTTCACCTGTGTTTATAGGGGCGGCTGTGGCTCAGAGGCAGAGCGGGTCGTCCCCCAATCCGAAGGTTGTTGGCCCACGTGGTCGACAAGTATCCTTGAGCAAGATACTGAAACCCAATTGCTCCCGACTGCATGCTCAGTGTGTGAATGCTGTCAGTAACTGAGTTAGTTTCTTGTTCGATGGACCTTTGCCATCACTGAGTGACATGTGTGTGAACAGGGTGAATTGGCACGTAGTGTAAAAGCGCTTTGAGTGGTCGGAAGACTAGAAAGGCGCTATACAAGTACAGGTCCATTTACCATTTTACCATTTATTGTGTTTTCTGGTTTAGGCTTTACCGACAGCAGCTTTCTGCTCCTTTTGAAGAAGATGCCAGATCTGGAGCAGCTATATGGCCTCCACCCTCGATACCTGGAGAGGAGACGAGTCCGAGGCTACGAGGCTTTCAGTATACCTGGAGTTCTGGAGGCACTACAAGCCTGTCCCAATCTGCTGGTCAGTATGTAGTTTGAGAGAGATGCACCTGTACCAAGTGATGCCACTGATTGGTTCCTTCTCTTCGGTTGCTGTTTTAATGACTGAAATTACTTTCTGTAGTGTTTGATTTTATCACTGTCTTCAACTTTGTGTGTGTGTTGGTTATGAGACCACAAATCAGTCAATAATTAGGTTGGACAATGCTGGATCAAAAATGACTGTACAAACCTTATATATACTGTCAATGGTACAAACACACAACTTTATTCACTGATTTTGGTGAAAGTGGATGATATTTCATGGAGAAAATATTATTTGGTTTTCCCTCTGATGTACTCCGGCTGCTCTCTGCTTCATCTCTCTGTGATTAGTTTACTGGTGGACAGATAACATTGCCTTTATTGTTAAACTATGCAGCTAGCTGGTTGGGTACTGGAGCGGCTTTGGCTCAGAAGTAGAGCGGGTCGTCCATCAATAGGAAGGTTGGCAGTTTGATCCCCGGCATGTCCAAGTGTCCTTAAGCAAGATACTGAACCCCAAATTGCTCCCGATGCTGTGCATTGGTGTATGAATTATTAGTTTCTGTTCTGGTGAGCAGTTGGTACCTTGCATGGCAGCCACTGCCATCATGGGGTGAGTGTGGCATGTAGTGTACAGTGCATTGAGTGGTCAAAAGACTAGAAAGGTGCTATGTGAGTACAGTCCATTTACTATTTACATATTTACAAATCTGATCACTGATTATCTGGTTATCATGGCTCCTGTCAGTGGGATATATTAGGCAGCAAGTGAACATTTTGCTATCATAGTTGATGTGTTAGAAGCAGAAAAAATGGGCAGCGTAAGGATTTGTGCGACTTTGACAAGGGCCAAATTGTTTTTGCTAGACGACTGGGTCAGAGCATCTCCAAAACTGCACTACTTGTTGGATGTTCCTGGTCTGAAGTGGTCATTAATGCACGTGGGGAGCAAAGGTTGGCCTGTGTGGTCCGATCCAACAAACGAGCTGCTGTAGCTCAAACTGCTGAAAAAGTTAATGCTGGTTCTGATATAAAGGTGTCAGAACACACAGTGCATCACAGTTAGTTGCGTATGGGGCTGCATAGCCACAGACCAGTCAGGGTGCCTACAATGGGCATGTGAGCATCATAACTGGACCACGGAGCAATGGAAGAAGGTGGGCTAGTCTGATGAAGGTAGAGGTAGTGTGATGCTTTGGTCGATGTTCTGCTTGTCATTCATGTGGATGTTACTTCGACACATACCACCTACCTAAGCATTGTTGCAGACCATGTAAACTCACTTATTAAAACTTAATTTAATTATTATTATTATTATTAATTCCCTGATGGCAGTGGTCTTTTTCAGCAGGATAATGTGTCGTGCCACAAAGCAAAGAATGGTGTTGACTTGGCCTCCAAGTTCCCCAGATCTCAATCCAACCGAGCATCTGTGGGGTGGGATGTGCTGTACAAACAAGTTTGATCAATGGAGGCCCCAGCTCACAACTTACAGGACCTAAAGGAAATGCTGCTAAAGTGCCTCAACAGGTCAGGGCTGGTGGGGGACCTACAAAATATAAGATAGGTAGTCATAACCTTATGGCTGATAAGTGTATGTCACATATTATGCAGCATGTAACTTTTTTTGCATTAAATATGGCAGAATGAATTTAGCAGATTTTTGGTCTGACATAGTTTTTTTGCTATTGCTGGCATTAAACCTGGTAAACACCCCATGTGTGGGGATTTCCTTTTATTCATAGACTTAAAGATGTTTAAGACTTTAAAGTTTGTGCCTAGATGAAAGCATTTTATAGCGCTGCAGAAAGTTGCAGCAATGTCTGGTTTTAGAATATTGTTTTAGAAAGATATTTATATTTATTATGATCGTATACTTTGTGTTGTATGCTTTGGAACAGTTTTAGCCATTGTGTGTAGTCATGCCAATAAAGTAACTTCAACTGAATAATAACAGTGTGTCTGGATGGTAGATACTAAGTTGCTTTTCCCGGAAAGTCCGACAGCAGAATATCCCTCTTCTAAACCACAGCGATAACACAGCATAAATTAACATAAATTCACAATGTATCCTCGAAAGAAATCATCGTCATAGAGGTGTGTCAGGCAGTGCAAAAGCAGTGTTTTCTGTGGGAGACAGTAAAGCTCTTTACCGTGGTCTCTGGTTTTTGTCTCTGACCTTTCCTGTCTATCTTCAGCTGTATCTATCAAATAAAGGCAATGAAAGGACAAAAGAATAACTTAAAAAAAAAGTCTATATAATGCACTAAAGCACAAGGAAACCCCAAAAAGCATAATAAGTGTACTTGTAGAAGCATTGTAGGTCCTCTTCAGGTAGCTGTTCCATGCAGTAAGCGACTTTGTTGCCTTTATGTTCAGCTAGCCTGCTTTTAGAGAGACACATCATAAGTATGTTAACCCTAAGCTTGAGTAAGCACAGACTCTGAGAAATGTTTAAAAGCCCTTTTTTTTTTTTTGTATCAAACACAAACTGTGCTGTTATGTTTAATATACTTCCTGGGTCCCCAGTTAGCTCAGTCGGTAGAGCTGGTGACCCATGTATGGTGTTGCTGCAGCGGCCCGGGTTTAATTCCAACCTGCGGCCCTTTGCTGCGTTCATCCCCTCTCTCTCTGCCCTCCTTTCCTGTCTGTCTTTGGCTTTCACTATACAATAAAAGCAATAAAGCTTCTGTCAAACTCTGGATAGTTCAGTATATTGTGTTGTAATTTGATATTTTTTTGTCAAACTACTGTTTCCTAGGTTAAGAATGGTTGTTAATTGTACTTACTAGATTTTTCTAAAGCTTTCAACTGCATGGTGTGGTCTTCTCAATGGATGGAAAAAAGAAGTGAACTAAAAGAAGTGAACCGTTATAATTAAGACAACTCTGTCCACTGAAGACAACTGGTGTGGTTAAATGTAAAAAAGCTTCCGAGTGGACCTTGACTTACGATTTTTCTTTACTTGACCTCATTTCAGGGTGTGGAGACATCCCATCTGGAGCTGGTGGAAGCCATATGGAACTACATGCCTCAGGTTCACATACTGGGAAAGTTCCGCAACCGTAATGGGGCTTTTCCCATTCCCGCAGAGAACAAACTGACCATCCCCATAACTGCAAAGATCCAGACCCTACATCTAGTGGGTGAGTAGGACGTCAAACACATTGACAGTTCCTGCTACTGCCTCCACATTACAGGATCAATATGAAGTAAACTATTGAGAATCACAATCAAAATCACTTTTATTGGCCAGGTATAGGTATAGGTGTGCACATACAAGAAATTTGACTCTTGTTTTAAGTTGCTCTCAATGTACAAACACAGACTAACAGCATAAATAAACAGAACAAGTTCAA